GCTAATATTTTTAAGTAAATTTGGGTAACTAATCATGCCAAGATTCCCCTGGTAATCTTGAAATTATCTTTATATATCACAGCCAATAATGTTGTTTATCCATGACAGGTTGTACTGTTTGATTTTGTTTGTTTGTTTTGGTTTTTCAAATGCAAAATCTGTCTTTCACCTACCATTATCTTGTAATTAGAAATGATGGTCACCAAGTAAGTGGTCAAAGCTCAGACATTAACATCAAAGAGCCGAGGTCTAAGATCCACCACATATCACCTATGAGAATCTCCCCAAGTTACTTAACTTTCCTATCCTTGATTTGCTCATCTGTAAAATAGACAGGTTTGCTATCTAATAAGATGTCTGTGAGGATCAATGAGACAATCTACATAAAACACTTAGCACAGTGCTCGGCAAATAGGAAGCGTTCAATGCATATTAACTACTATTATCATTAATCTTAGGACCTCATCTGAAGGCTTTGGCTCTCAAAATTCGAAGGTTTTATAGATCTCAAGCTGCAGTGAAATACAGTCATATGTCACTAACAATGGGGCTATATTCTGAGCAATCTGTCATTAGGCTATTTCATCACTGTCAAACATCAGAAAGTGTGCCTACACAAAGCTACACTGGATAGCCTACTACATACCTAAGATATGTGGTCTAGCCCATTGCTTCTACGCTACAAACATGTACAGCATGTTATTGCACTGCATACTATAGGCAACTATAACTTGATGGTAAGTATCTGTGTTATCTAAATATATCTGGATGTAGCCGGACACAGTGGCTCAAGCCTGTAATCCCAGAGACTTGGAAGGCTGAGCTGGGAGGATCACTTGAGGCCAGGAGTTTGAGACCAGCCTGGGCAACATAGCAAGACCTTCTCTCCAGAAAAATAAAAACAAACATATCTAAACGCAGAAAAAGTAATGCATAGCGCTATGACATTACAATAGCTACGATGTCACTAGACAATAGGAATTTTTCAGCTCCATTATAATCTTATGGGATCACCGTTGTCTATGTGGTTCATTGTTGACCAAAATGTCATTATGTCACGGTGCAAGACTGTATTTCCCTTTTTTTAATTTTATGCCTAATGAAAACACCCTCATTTTCTAGTAAAGACAAACAAATCAAACCATCTTAAATATCCTAATAAGATATATGAATGTGGGTTTTAAAGTCAAAATTCCTGAGGGGTTAAGATTCCACGCTTACCAATGCATTGTTCTATAACAGTGACAACAACAAACAGCACCTAACGATAGCATAGGTAAGAGTGGCAGGCACTGCTCCAAGGCGTTGTGTGTACTGGCCCATTTCATCCCCACAACACCCTCTCAGTGGGTACCACTGTTACTCCCAGTTACAGGCAAGGAAACTGGGGCCCAGAGAGCAAAGTGTCCGGGGTCCAACAGCTGGCAAGCGGCAGAGGCAGTGCAGCTCCAGAGCCCAGGCTCAGAGCCACCAGGCTAGGGTAGTTTGCTAGGGCTGTCATAACAAAGTACACAAACCGTGTTACTTAAATGTCAGAAATTTATTGTCTCGCAGTTCTTAAGGTCAGATGTCCAGATCAAGATGTTGGCAAGGTTAGTTCCTTCTGAGGGCTGTGACAGAGGACCTATTCCACCCTTCTCTGCTAGCTTCTGGTGGTTTGCTGTCCATCTTTGGTATTCCTTGGCTTGGGGATCTCTGCCTTCATCTTCACATGGCATTCCCCCCAGGTATTGCCTGTGGCCAAATTTCCTCTTTCTATGAGGACACCAGTCATACTAGATTAAAGAACCACTCTACTGCAGTATGATCTCATCATAACTAATTATATATGCAATGACCCTCATCCTAAATACGGTCACATTCTAGGGTACTGGGGGATGGAACTTTAACATATAAATTTTTAAGGGGCACAATTCAACCCATAACAGCTGGCTTTTTCTCACCATTCAAGTCTCAGTCCAAGCACTACCTCCACAGAAAGGCCTACCTCTTAAAAGAGCTCTCCCCAGGCCACCAGCAACTCTCTCACTGAGATTTTCCCTGCACACTTACCACTACCAGAAGTCATCCTATTTGTGTATTTGCCTTCTGTCTACCTCTCCACACTAGACTGTAAATTCCATGAATGTGGGAACTGTCTTGTCCACTTGTCTCCAAAGCCAAGAGCAGTGCCTGACAGATGGTGGTACTTAATCAGTATCAGCTGAATAAATGAATACACGCATTAAGTGAAAGTCACTTGCCAATTATAATCGTAATGTCAGGGAGTGCACGGCTATGAATAAAAGTCAAGCAGTACAATAGGGTAGAGAAAGGTGTGTCACCGTGAGCAGGGTGACCAGGGAAGGCTTCTGAGGAGCTGACATGGGAGTGGATAAGAACAGTTTCAGCGAGAGTGAGGTTGACAGTCTGACTGGGCTGGGGTCCAGGTGTGAACAGGAGGTGAGGAAGTGGAGACAATGAGGAGACATGCCATAGAGGGAAGCAGAAGGTGGTGGGGTATCTGCATTCACTACCCCTCATCTAGAACCTGATAGTTGGCAAAGACTTTGCTGCACCTGGTGAAATAAACTTTTCCCTCATTCCTGAAGCTTCTACAATAGCCCTGAAGCCTTCCTTTCCTCTGTCCCCTGGGTATTTTGTCCTTGCTTTTGCTGCAGTATTTCCAGTATTTCTGTGGGACTGCAAGTTTTCCATTTTACATAGCTCTTTCTCCCTTCAATGAACACCTTGAAGGCAGGGACTCCAAAAGGCACCCAGAAGACAGGGAAGGAAGAGAACTTCTGGCTGGTGCTCCTCCCTGTGGGTGCCCTTCCTACTACAGAAACCAAGTTTTATCCCTTCACAAACAAGACTTTCAGATCTGTACACTGAAAACTATAAAACATTGATGAAAGAAATAGAAGATGACACAAATAAATAGCAAGATATCCTGCATTCATGCATTGGAAGAATCAATATTGTCAAAATGTCCATACTCCCCAAAGTGACATACAGATTTAATGCAATCCCTACCAAAATTATAATGGCATTTTTCACAGAAATAAAAAAACACAACCCTAAAATCCATTTGGAATCATAAAAGACCCCAATTAGCTAAAGCAATCTGGATGGAGCAAAAAGAATAAAGCTGGAGGCACCACACGTCCTGATTTCAAATTATACTAGTCTAGTAATCAAAACAATATAGTACTGGCATAAAAATAGACACATAGGCCAATGGAACAGAATAAAAAGCCCAGAAATAAACTCACACATGTATGGCCAAATAGTCTTTGATGAAGGTGCCAAGAATACACATTGGGGAAAGAATAGTCTCTTCAATAAATGGTGGTGAGAAAACTGGATATCCACATGCAAAAAGGTGAAATTGAAACCTCATCTTATACCATACATGAAAATCAATTCAAAATGGATTGAAGACTTCACACAAGATTTGAAACTATAAACCTTCTAGAAGAAAACAAAGGGGAAAAGCTCCGTGACACTGGACTTGGCAATGATTTTTTGGATATGACACTAAATGCATAGGCAACAAAAACAAACAAGTAGGACCAACTTAAAAAGTTTCTTCACAGCAAAGGAAACAGTCAACAAAATGAAAGGACAACCTACATAATGGGAGAAAACATTTGAAAGCCATACACATGAAAAGGAGTCCTAAAATATATAAATATCCTAAATATATAAAGAACTCATACAACTTAACAGCAGAAAAACAAATAACCCAATTAAAAAAATGGGCAAAGGACCTTAATGGATATTTTTCCAAAGATGACATACAAATGAGTAACAAGTACAAATTTTTTTTTTTTTATACGGTCTCACTCTGTTGCCCAGGCTAGAGTACCATGGCATCAGCCTAGCTCAGAGCAACCTCAAACTCCTAGGCTCAATCAATCCTACTGCCTCAGCCTTCTGAAAAGCTGGGACTACAGGCGCACACCACCATGCCTAGCTAATTTTTTTCTATTTCTTTTTTTTAGTAGAGATAAGGTCTCGCTCTTGCTCAGGCTGGTCTTGAACTCCTGAGCTCAAACAATCCTCCTGCCTCAGCCTACCAGAGTGCTAGGATTACAGGCATGAGCCACTAGGCCCGGCCTAGGAAAATACAAATTAAAACCACAATGAGATATCATCTTATACCTGTTTGGATGGCCATTACCAAAAAGTCAAAACTTAACAAGTATTGGCAAGAATGTGCAGGAAAGAAACCTTTATGCATTGTTGGTGGGAATGTAAATTAGTATAGCCATTATAGAAAACACCATGGAGGTTCCTCAAAAACTAAAAATAGAACTACCATATGATCCAGCAATCCCCATTCTAGGTATGTATCTAAAGAAAATGAAATCACTTTCTCAAAGAGATAACTTTATTCCCGTGTTCATTACAGCATGATTCACAATAGCCAAGATATGGAAACAACCTAAGTAAGTGTCCACCGACAAATAATGGATACAGAAAATGTGAGCCAGGCATGGTGGCTCACGCCTGTAATCCTAGCACTCTGGGAGGCTGAGGTGGCGATCGCTCAATGTCAGGAGTTTGAAACCAGCCTGAGCAAGAGCGAGACCCCATCTCCACTAAAATGAGAAAGAAATTAAACTAAAACTAAAAAAAATATATATTTATATATAAATATATAACATATATTTTATATATATAAATTATATATATATATATATATATAGGCATGGTGGCGCATGCCTGTGTCCAGCTACTCGGGAGGCTGAGGCAGGAGGATGGCTTGAGCCCAGGAGTTCGAGGTTGCTGTGAGCTAGGCTGACGCCACGGCACTCTAGCCTGTGCAACAGAGTGAGACTCTGTCTCAAAAAAAAAAAAAAAAAAGAAAAGAAAACGTGGTGTGTGTATGTGTGTGTATATACATAAACAATGTGTGTCTGTATGTATGTATGTATTCCATTGTATATATATATATATGTGTGTGTATATACACACAATGGAATATTCCACATAGGTATACACACACACACACACACACAATGGATTATCATTCAGCCTTAAAAAAGAAGGAAATCCTGCCATATTTGACAACATGGATGAACTCAGAGGACAATGTGCTAAGCGAAATATACTCGACACCTAAAGACAAATACTAAATGATCTCATTTACATATGGAATCTAAGAATGTTGAACTCGTAGAATATGCGACAGTGGTGGCTGGCTGCCAGGGGCTGGTGGAAATGGAGAGAGATTGGTCAAGGATATAAACTTTCAGTTATGAGATGAGTAAGTTCTGGAGACCTAATATACAGCATGGTGGCTATAGTTTATAATAATAATGTATTATATACTTGAAACATGCTAAGAGAGTAAACAGATCTTAAGCATTCTCATCACACACACACACACAAAGGTAACTATGTGAGGTGATGAATATGTTAATTAGCTTCATTATAGTGATTTTATAATGTAAATATATATGTAAATTTATAATATAAATATATATATACCTTAAACATTCACAATTTTTTCTTCTTTTTTATTTTTTTGAGACAGCACCTTACTCTGTTGACCTGGTTAGAGTGCTGTGGTGTCAGCTTCATTCACAGCAACCTCAAACTCCCAGGCTCAAGCAATCCTCCTGCCTCAGTCTCCCAACTAGCTGGGACTACAGGCACATACCACCATGCCTGACTAATTTTTTTCTACTTTTAGTTGCCCAGTTAATTTTTTCTTTTTCTTTTTTTTCAGTAGAGACAAGGTCTCACTCTTGCTCAGGCTGGTCTTGAACTCCTGAGCTCAAGCGATCCTCCTACCTCAGCCTCCCAGAGTTCTAGGATTACAGGCATGGGTCACCACACCCAGCCCACAATTTTTACTTGTCAATTTTACCTCAATAAAGCTGGGAAAAAAATTAAATAAATAAAAAATAAAAACCACGCTTTCAGGAGTGATGTCATGACACAGCAAGAGGCTCCCAGAGTTCTCTCTCCACTGAAGCAACCACTGAGCTGGAAGGAGCAATCAGAATCAACTATTTAGGAACTATGGAACCCACTAGATAGTTACAACAATGGGGGAGGGGACTGATGAATGGAGAGGCTGCCGATCTTTCCTAGGAGAACAGCTGGCATTTGCTACTCCTCAGCCCCACCACACTATGGGGATAGCAGCCCACACTCCTAGAGTGCTGGCAGGTACCAGGATGGCCAAAGGGGACCTCCTCCTCTAGCAACTGGTGTTGTGCATTTTGGTTGGTCTGGTAGTGTCTGAGGGATTGACGCAGATGCCTGGCTTGGTTTTGGCCCTCTTGGTGGCGGCAGCTTCCCTAAATAGCATCCATAGGAAAATATTAAGCAACCATCCCCTCCCCCTTTTTTAAGCCAGACATTTAAGGAAATCTTTTTCGGGTCACTGGCTGACCACAGAGATAACAGAACAGAAACTTCAGTGACCACACAAAACAAGAAACATGTATTTGCAAAAATAGTTTGAAAAAGTCACAAACAGCACCAGCCCTAAAAAGTCAGCAATTCCTGAAAAGTAGGAAAAATGAGATTTTTAGAGTTATTACATTATAATACTCGGAATGTCTCATTTTCAATAAAAAAAAATGACAAAGCATAAAAAGAAACAGGAAAATATGGTCATTCATAGGAAAAAACAGGAATTTGTCACAAGCCATTAATGAAGAAACCTAGACACTGGAATTACTAGTCAAAGATGTTAAATCAACTATATTAAATATGCTAAAGAAACCACAGACAAAGAATTAAAGGAAATCTGGAAAACAATGTATTAACAAAATGAGAATATCAATAAAAAGACAGAAATTGTAAAAAGGAACTAAACAAAAATTCTGGAGCTGAAAAGTACAACAACTAAAATGAAAAATTCACTAGCAGGTTTCAAGAGCAGATCTGAACAAGCAGAAGACAGGATTAGCAAACATGACGATATAGAACAATTGAAATTATCCAGTCTGAGCAGAAAGAAAAAATATGAAAAGGTGAACAAAGCCTATGGGACCCGTGGGACATCATCACGTGGACCAACATATGCATTGTGGGGACCCAGAAGAAGAGGGAGAGAAAGAGGTAGGAAGAATATCTCAAGAAATATATGCCAAAAACTGCCCCAAATCTAATGAAAGACACATGCAAAAAGCTCAATGAACTCCAAGCAGGATAAGCAGAAGATAGGCTCTTCTTTCTTTAATAAGATTTCTCAGAGTACTTTGATATCAAAGGCATCAGAGTATAATGGTTAAGAAACAGCCTCTGGGCTACCCTAACCAGGTTTGAATTTGGCTCTGTTACTTACTAGCTGTGTAACTTGAGGCCATCTCTTAAAAACTCACTTTATTTGTACAACGGAAATAAGAATAGTACCTGCTTTAGCAAGTTGGTGTGAGGAGAAAACGGTAATGCATGTAAAACATTCAGAACAGCTCCTGACACCTAAGTAAAGCTTTATAAATGTTTGTTTTCATTATAATCATACAGTCATCTGAAGATACTCTGGGAGGCACAAATGAGGTTCTATCAAGGTCTATGGATTCAGAAATATATTAAAATTAAAAACTATTTACTCAATTTCACAGTCTAATCAATTAACCCACTTTCTTATCAGATGGAGACAATTTCTATCTAAGATCTAGGACAAGTGTAAAGTCTAATTGATATTTTAGTGCTTTAAAAAAAAAAGTCTTTGGCCAGGCACGGTGGCTCACGCCTGTAATCCTAGTACTCTGGGAGGCCGAGGTGGGCAGATCGTTTGAGCTCATGAGTTTGAGACAAGCCTGAGCTAAGAGTGAGACCCCCATCTCTACTAAAAATAGAAAGAAATTAATTGGCCAACTAAAAATATATAGAAAAAAAAAATTAGCCAGGTATGGCGGCGCGATGCCTATAATTCCAGCTACTTGGGAGGCTGAGGCAGTAGGATCACCTGAGCCCAGGAGTTTAGGTTGCTGTGAGCAAGGCTGATGCCACAGCACTCTAGCCCGAGCAACAGAGTGAGACTCTGTCTCAAAAAAAAAAAAAAAAAGTCTTCCATCAGAGTAATAATTTAGTTAGTTCTGAAACTTTCTTCTAAATACCATTGAAGAGTCTGTGTGTGTCATTGCTGTTGATACAGGATGTACCACAAGATATAAACTACTCCATATTGCTACCTAGAAAGCCAAAATGTTTACCCATATGAGATTTTAGCCCTTCATGTTTCATTGTTCAGCACTGTTGAGTACCTTCTATGTGCCAGCACTGGGGATACAGGAATGCACAAAACAGACAAAACCCCAGGAAACACTGCGTAGGCAGTCACAGATGGCGAATGTGGCTCACTGAAGTGCAAGGAGAGGAGAGCTCGATTCATCCAGGCCCCTCTGATTTGGCGCTGTGTCGTTCTATCACGTTTTATTCATGTCAAGTCTCCTGACCTAGCGGTAAGAAGCATGCAAGTTCATTCCCTAGGTCATAGGTTCAAAAACAAAAACCTCCCAATGTTCCCTTCAAGTCGTCGTTTTATTCAGAAAGGATCATAGCTGTAAAATTGTGCAACCCAAAAGACAAACGAAATATTTAATCTTTACAGCACACCAAGAAGCAAGTGATTGGGCATTGCACTTGCAAGTTTTCAGTGAGGGCCTGGGTGGTGCTAGATTCGATTCTCTAAGAGGCTGAGAACCACGCTTACACACTTAAATAAGTCTTTGTGCAGAATTTCCCAGGAGAACGCTGCTCCCGCCCTTCTTCCCCATTTTCTTTAGGAGCTGTTCAACCAAGGAAGCAAGGGCTTGTTGGCTGAGGCCTAACCTATGTAAGCACAGGCCTCCGGGCCCCTGGCCCGGTGCTCACCGTGCATCAAGAATAACCCAAAGCCAGTGACACGCTGGGCTTTCCTCTCTTCATTGCATTAGGAGAAGCACGTCTGCCCCGCCGGAGGAGGCACTTACGGAGCCCATGCAGGCAGCCTGTGGCTCTCCTTTTATAGCACATGGGGTCTCACTCCCTGGTCACTCCTGGCCCTGCAGTGAGAAGCTGGCATACAGGAGCCAAGTTATGACACAACCCACCCCAAGTGCTCTGGGTGACATCACACCAGGGCTGGGGAACAACTGGAAAGTCATCTGAGAGGTGAGGCTTCTCCCTGGCTTCCAGTCCCACTGCAGCCTACAGACTTTTTCTCTTTGACTTTTTAAAATAAGATTCAAGAAATCACTTTTCCTGTCATGGCTTAAAACCTGATAACTGTTTGAAGAATTATCCTTCTTCCCCACTGATGACGTCTCTGTGAGGACAAGAACTATGGGCTCGATCATCTTTACCTCCCTGACATCAAACACAGAAACTGGCCCAAGAAAAGCCTGTTGAATAACACATAACTAAACTCCATTTTTACAGCGTCTACTACTAAAAATCCCAAATAAAAAGTTAAAAACCCTATGGGGTAAACATCTTAAGGAAAACAAATAAACTGCAAAATCAATTATGTATTACATACTACCTTAGATTTTATGAAAGTCAGCACTACCTCAAAATTTAAGAAATGTACTGTAAAATCTGCTTTGTGATTCATTCATTCTTGTGAACACAGAGCCAATAATTGATTCTAGCCCTCACTATTATAGAATGTCTGCTCTATTTTCTCATTTATAAAGAGTAAAAACAACAGCTACCTCAATGCATTTTTGTGAGGATTAAAGGAGTTAACACATGGATAATACTTACAACAGTGCCCGGCACATAATGACCACTTAAGAAATGTTAGCCAGTATTACCACTGTTATCAGGCACTAGCCTGGCTAACACTGTATTAGACCAAGTCATACAGAAGTTCATTTGGTTAATCGGCCCAGAAAAGTATTAATAGAAGAGAGATGCACATATAATCTATCCCCTTGACAACAAAATTTGCCCCCAGAGCTTTAGATGCCTTCTAAAAGCCATTAATGGATCCTCAACATACAAAAATTGCCTATAAATTGTTTATTCTTTAAAATGTGATTTCCCCTTGAAGCAAAAAAATATATATTTAGCAGACTCTAAATAGATTCCAGAAAGAACTGAACTGGAATTTTCACTAAGAGTTTCCTTTAAAAAAAAAAAATCAGAAAGCAATTTTTACCGTCTCTTTAGGCCAGATGATGTTCTTAATCCTTGAAGGTTTGGGGCACTTTTATCTGACAAGAGCCCATGAGTTTATGAAAGCTTCAAATGAGGACTGCTTGGGTTAAAAATAATCACTGAGAAACAAAAACTGAGAAACAAAAAGCAGAAGTATTTATACAATTGCTCCATTCGCCCTCTCCCACTGTCGGTGCTTTCTTGTTTATCAGATCCCTGTCGTCAGTCTAGCAATTCCCAAACAGGTGTCCTGTAGGCCACTGGTCCCCAAGATGCTGGGCCATGCAAGGGTGCTGTGGTCAAGTGAGTTTGGGAAATACCTACTACATTCCCCACTTGGAAAGCCACAGTACACATTAACATGGTAAAGGTCCTGAGCCCCTTCCAGGAAAGAAACCTGTTTCGTTGTACTTAATCCAATGTACTTAACCACACACTCCCTTTTTTAAGGAACACCTACTAGAATCTAGGTTTTGGAAATGCTGAAACAGTCTAAATTAATCACTTCTTCCCATCTTAGGAATGAATACAGGCAGGGCGGGTGTACTCACATGGCTTGGCAAAGTCAGCACTTAACTAAAAGCTGATGGGGATGAATGTTAACCCTACGTATACCCACGCCCCCTGATTCAACACACATTTTCATGAACAGGCATATCTTGGATCAAGGTAAAAAGAAGCTATCCTCAGCATCCATCTGAGGTGTGTCCTACACCCAGGAAATGCACCAACAATTCATGAGAATCACGAGAAACATGATTTCAGAATGTGAAAGTAAATAATTCAAATTTAAAATAATTCAAACTTAAACCCTTGAGAGGAATGTAGCTATGCAGCCTGAGTCACAAAGCATGCAGCTGCAAATTCTGCCCTTTTTTCTCTGTAAATAATTAGGAAGACCAAGCAGTGCCAGAGATAAGACCCCCTTAGGTCATCGATCCTCCTCGGAGGAATAAAGTAATCTTCCTTGGAATGCAGCAGTCTGTAGCCAATCAAACCGCTGCGGGGTACGCACTGGTCTTGTATGAGAACTGTGCTAATCCTGCCGAACTCTGACTCCACCTACAGAAGTGAAACCTCCACTTCTCCACTTTGGAGCTCTGACCCCATTCATTTGGAGCAGGTGTTTCCAGGTGGCCGTCCTCAAGCTTTGCACTTGAATAAACTCCGTACTTAATCTGATTCTCTGAAGCTCATTACTTATGGCTGACAAGAAGATTGGGAGGAGAATAAAAAGGAAGACGACAATACTGCAAGAGCAAGCCTGTCAACAAAAGGAATTTAATTCTCTTATTTTTTTAAGTCAAGGGGAAGAATGCCAGAGCGTTCTCATGATCTAATTAGAATATGTCCAAAGTCACCAGTGAGAAATCCACTGATGGCAGATTAATGGGGTCACGAGCAGAAAGGAATGCTGGGGGCAGAGAGGGGTCCTTGAAAAACTGTCTCCAAAGACTCCAATCTCTAGAACATTATCTTAGTTCTATAACAGGAAAATTGTTCCAGAATCTTCAACGTCTGTAATGTTAAGTTTCCTTTCTTCTAGCATCCAAACTTCACATAAAATTAGGGATTTAGGGAAGTATTTCGCCTCCCCCCTCAGGTCACTGTGACAGTCACTGCACCAAAACTGTCCCATGTGGCCCCCTACTGGCCTCCCCAGGAGCATACCTACCACAAAGGCACAATGGCAGCAGAGAGGAAGCTGGAATTTCTGGAATAACAAAGAATGAAATTGCAACTCTTTGTTTCCCAGGAATCTAATCCACTTTGGCGTCTTAGGCCTGAGGATCCCCCACGGAGGGAAAGAGAGGTGCTGGGAAGGTACACAGAAGACACTCATCTCACAGGTCTGCAGTTGAACCAAGTCACACAAAATCGTCCCAATGTTTCACCCCGGCACTACGCAACAAAACTCTCCGCGATGATGACAATGTTCTGTATCAGCACTGTCCAATGCAGCAGCCACTAGCCGCAGCACTTGAAATGAGGAACTGAATTTCCAATTTTAGTTAATTTTAATCAATTTTAATTTAAATAACCACACGTGGTTAGTGCAACTAGCCTACACACCCAAATTTCCTTCGACACGAACAGAAACAGAAATGGAAGGTCTTCAGAGGCTCTGGAAAACAGACAATTTTACTTCCCAAAGAAAGGAGGGAAAAACCAAGCCCCACTATCTCATTAGTCTTTGTGTACATTCTGAGATGGCTGAAGATGGGCATCATTCTCATTTCACCAAGCAGAGAAACTGAGATACGTATCAGATAACGGATACAAACAGCAACTGCTATTTGTGGAACCTCTATGTGTGCAAAGGGTTTTGTATGCAATCTTTACAGCAGTCCTCCAAGATAAACATTATTCTCTCTCTTTCACAGATGTGGAAACCAAGATTCAAGGAGGTTAAGTCACTTAGGAAAGGCCACACAGGAGGTGGCGGTAAGATCTGAACTCAGATCTACCTTCAAAGGCTAAAAAAACATACTTGCAGTCTTTAGCAAAAGTAAATTTTCCTTTCTAGATTTAGTCAACAAGTATTTCTTTATAACACCATGCTAAGTGCTGGGGGAGGGAGGAGGGATACAAAGATAAAGAAGGAAATCTATCACTACACTGAAACTCAGAGTTATATGAGCCTATTATTCTTCCATAACAAAGGTATATTAATTATTCAGTTACTCACAGCTAGATCCTCTTGCATATTACAGCAACGAACTGGCCCAGAATAAAAATAAGCTAATAATTTTAGCACTTCAAAAATATACAGAAAAAAAAGCACAAGTGACAAGAGAAAAAGATAAACTGGACTTCATCAAAATTTAAACTTTTGTGCATCAAAGGACATCATCAACAAAGTGAAAAGAATCCACAGCATGGGAGGAAATATTTGCAAATCATGTATCTGACACGGGGCTTTTATCTAAACTATGTATTTAAAAAAAAAAAAAACTCTTACAATTCAGCAATAAAAAGGCAAATACTGCAAATGTTTTTGTGTGGACATATGTTTTCATATCTCTTGGGTCTATACCTAGGAGTGGATTGCTGGGTCATATGATAATTCTATGTTTAACATTTTGAGGAAGTGCCAAACTGCTTTCCAAAGTGGCTGCACCATTTCACACCCCTACCGGCAGTGTTTTAGGGTTCCAATTCCTCTACAACCTCACCAGCATTTGTTATTGTCTTTTTTATTTTAGCCATTCACATGGGTATAAAGTGGTATTTCATTATGGCTTAATTTGCATTTCCCTAATAATTAGCTCAGCATATTTTCATGTGCTGATATTGAAACATCTTCTTTGAACAAACACCTATTCAAATCCTTTGCTCATTTTTAAATGGGCTATTTTAATTGTTAAGTTGTAACACTTCTTTATATAACCTGGATACAAATTCTTTGTCAGATACATGATTTGCAAGTATTTTCCCTTATTTTAAATCTGCTCTTCTAAGTCAGGTTCTCCAGCAAATAACCTTTTCCTTACTCAACAAGGAAAATATCAGTGAAAAACATGAACTCCAACATTTTTAGAAAGAACATATCACTTTCTGATGAGGAACAGCTGAGACCCCCTCAGCCCACAGCATGGAAGGGATACAAGTGACCTGAAAGTAATCATGCAGACTGCAGGACAGAGCAGACTGGGAAAGAAATGTTAGGGTTGAGTTGATTAAATACAGATTTTAAAATGAAAAAATTGTCCATCTTTTTTATTCCTCTATTTTGTTTTAAATCCCTCTTTGCCCCTTTTTTTGTTTCCTAAATGAATTTAAGTACTTCACAATCATCACTCTATAAGCTATACAAAGCAATAATTTGGAGGGCCTGACTTGACCCACAACAAAGCAGGAATGTGTAATAAGGAGCCACATTACCCCAGCACCGGGAGGGACGTGAAGGAGTACCTGGACACACATGCACACATCTGGGTGGCTTTAAGGCCTCCCAATAGGTCTGCCTCCTACACACCTACTAGCATTACGAACCAGCCCAAATCAAAATATATCTGGGTAGGGAGGAGATCTAGATGGGCAGGAATGAAATATGCAAACATCTCTCTCAATAGAGAGAAAGACCAAGAAAGGGGAAGAAACCAGATTCAAAATGATCCTTGAAGACAAATGCTGACGAAAGCCCAACAGAAGAAACACAGTGAGTTCTTAAAAGATGCTGTTAGTGTTATCATAAATATTAAATAATAATATTAACTATAAATTCCTGCACTTATGTTTAAAATGGCAGTTATATAAAAAGAGATAAGAGACCTGGCGTGGTCAAAATCCACAGGAGGAAATAAAAGTGGGGTTTTGGTTGACCGAAAGCTCAACAAGTGGCAACGGTGCAATGCAGCTGCTAAACACCACCACCAGGCAGTCCTCCTCCACATGAAAGGAACTGACAGGCTCACCAAACTCTACCAGCCCAGCCAGATCTGATGTGCAGGTCTGGTTTGGGCACAAAACATACAGACAATCTCAAGCATATCTAGCAAGGAGTGACTAGAATGGTCTGGAATCCCAATTAAACACAAAACAGTGAACAGAACAGGAGGTATCTATACAAGTAAAGGTTTAAGGCTGCAGTCCCCAACCCCTGGGCCATGGCCCAGTACTGGTTCCCAGCCTGTTAGTAACTGGGCTGTGTGTCACTGCCTGAGCTCTGCCTACCTGCCTCCCCCCCATACACACACTTTCCATGAAACTGGTCCCTGGTGCCAAAAAGGTTGGGGACTGCTGGTTTAAGATTCTCTTACATATTTGAAGAACTGCTAATAAAGAATGGCGCTAGCTGTACTGTGTTGCCAAAGGATGAAAATTATAAGGGAGGCTAAGTTAGGCTCTATATATGAAATAATTTTCTAATACTTAAAATTTTCCAATAATTGATCCCACAGGCTTGAGAGGTTATGAGTTCTCTTTTGTTGGAAGTTCCCAGGAGCCAAACAGAGGGTTTTATGCCAATAAGAGCAATCTAAGGATTCTGCTGGTTGGTGAAAGGATGCACTACAAAGTTTTAAGGTCCCTTCCAACATCAAGAATCTGCAGTTCTATGATTCTATGGTTGAGGTTCACCAAATTAGTAGATGGAGCCCAGTGTTAACCTCTCCTCCAACCCATCTTTGTATGATGAATGGTAAATACTTTAAAATATTCTTGGTAGAACTGGAAAAAAATGATTAAATAAAACTTGTGTCTCTAATATTAACTACTGATTTCAGAGCTATTAATATTTATGTTCACTTCTACTCTACTTAAACCCTTCTATTTCTTATCTGCAGAAGGACCTAAATGAGATCATCATGGTAAATAAATTCTGAAAACCTTCAAAGCAATGTAAGAAATATTAATCATTATTGATGTTTATCAATAAGTAGAGAAGCACTCAACTTTCTTTAAAAAAGAAAATATTTCCACTGTAAATTGCTGAGGTAGATCTAATTTCACCTTCTATCTTAAGATTTGATAACCAAAGTTATCAAACGCCTGAAAAGTTACCAGAGGCCTGAACACACAATTTTAGCAAGATGCCCATCACAGAATAATAGCAAGAGAACCCAGAGGCTGGGCTTGGCCTTTTGTCCTCAAACAGGAATAAATGCAGGACTCAGGAGGAAAGTGAGAGTAAAAATTGGGACATCTAAACTAAGAATAAACCAAAGAGACAGGAATATTTGGGTGCTAACAGGCAAAGCTCAAGCATAATCTAGAAAAGAAAAAATTGTGCTTTTCAAAAGTCAACATTGAGAAAATGAAACACAAGCCACAGATGGGAAAAAAAATTTTAGCAGTCATATCTGATAAGGAAATTGTATCCAGAATACATAAAGAATTGTTACAAATTCTTATAGCTCAGTAATATTAAAAGAAAAAGAAAACAGTACTCAATTTAAAAATAGGCCAAAAATTGAATGGCTATTTCACCAAAAAAGATATATGAACAGCTAATAAGCACATGAAAAGATGCTTAACATCATCAGTCATTAGGGAAATGCAAATTAAAACCACAATGATATAGCACTACCCGCCCACTATAATGGCTATAATCAAAAATACAGACAATATCAAGTGTAGGTTGGGATGTGGAGCTACTGGAACTCCCTCATATTCCAATGATAGGAAGGTAAAATGCTGCAGTCACTTGCAGAAACATCGTAACAGTTTCTCAAAAGATTAAATACGTATGTACCATACCTCCCAGCAATTTCAATTCTAGGTGTCTAACAAAGAGAAATAAAAACATTTGTCCACACAAAAACTTGTACACAAACAATCATAGCAGCATTATTCATAATAGCCAAAAAGCAGAAACAACTCAAAGGTCCATCAACTGGTGGATTAATGAATTAATAAAATGTGATATATCCATATGATGAAATATTATTCAACAATAAAAAGGAACTACCAATGTATATAACGATGATAAATATCAAAAACATTATGCTAAGTGGAAAAAAAGCTAGACACAAAAGACTATATTTTGAATGATTCCATATATATGAATTTTCCAGAAAAGGCAAATCTACAGAGACAGAAAGGAGATTAGTGGTTACCTAGGGCAGGGGGTAGGAGCAGAGACTGAATGCAAATGAGCACAAGGTAGATTATGGAGATGCTTGGACAACTCTACAAATTCACCAAAAGTCACTTAATTTATAATAGATGAATTTTATGGTATATAAAATTATACCTCAGCAAAGTTCTTTTAAGAAAGGTATGGCCTCAAGACACATGAAATAGCGGGCCTGGTTCAGAGGTCAGATCTTTTAGTCACATTCCTTATATAAATCATGTTCGGTCCAAAGATAGAAACACAATGGAGACTTCTATTTTATTTATCAAAAGCAATGTCTTTAGGTATCTCAAAACTTAAAGCTATAAATTTCCAGATTCTCTTATTATGTGATTTTGGAGGCAGTTTTCCTGGAGGTTAAAGGTGGGGACTGTGGACCCAACCTGTGTCTAAAAATCCACCTCTCCTAACTTTCTAGCTGACCTTGAGCACGTTACTTAAACTCAGCCTCGGTTTCTTGTTCCTGTGAAACAGAATTATTAAACACCACAGAACTGCTTAAACTAACACGCTATCTAGCACATGATAACACTCAGCAACACCAGCATTTGATATCAACACATCATCACCATCACTATGACCTGAGTCCCCTCAGGAGACTTGACAATTTGACTGATACGTGAATATTCTCAATGTGCACTTAGTGTTCCGTCACTGCTATATTCAGTTTAATTCACTGCCCTGCCCAAATACAACCAAGTTCCCTTGCAACCCTCATTCATTATCTCAGGTGCTTATAGGCTGAAATGAAGTCCCCACATCGCTTCACAGGATAGAGCAAAAGCTGTGCTATCCCTAGCCTAAAGCAAAATATTTTCCAAATCAAAAAAAAATTAAGTAGGTACATTTTTGTTATTCGTTTCTGGGAGAACTGGACAAAGAAGAAAATGTCAGCATCTCCTCACACATGCCTGGCAAACAGGGGGAAATAACACTGGAGAAATACAGCCACCACCCAAGGAGCTGGCACAGCGACACCATCCCCAGGCCCTGCACCGGAGAGTCGCCGTCACCCCCACAGTAAAGCACGGGGACTGGCACAGCGCTGGCCGCTTCCTAGGTGACAACTGAAACCCAGCCAAGTTCAAAAACCTCGTGCTGTTATTTTTAAAGTCTGTGTGAAAGGGGAAGGGAAACTGCATGGGGTGAACTCTCTATGCTGTCAGACAAGCCCTTCTGGTTCTCCTTTTCTTTTTCTTGGTCAGGGGCTGAGAGGACAGAAGCCTGGAAAAATATCTGTGGCACCAGGCAGGGCAACCCCATCGCTGATGTCAGGACAAGTACAGCGGTCACCTCTGGCTTGCCCGGCCCACCCCCTAGCCCACCAGCACACACTGCAGCTAAAGAACCCCAGTCCTCCAGACACACACCCCAGAAAACTTCTAAGGAAGAGACGCCACAACGTGGCAAGGGGAGGGACACGTGCCCGTCAGTCCCCACACTCGCTAGTCAGCCGCAAAAGCCCCCATGACCTCAACACATTCCAGGGAAATAAGTCATGGGATTGACATGTCATGAGGACTGCTGGAAGTCAGCATCTAAGAAAACCTCACGGCCTCTGTGGGGATTTCTCCTGGACACCACCTAGGTCTGACTCAGTAAATCGGGAGAAAACCCACTTCCTCACAGAAATGCCTATTAGGGCCACATGTAAGTGCCCCTGAAATCGAACCAAGTGGGTAATGTTAATAATGTGGCTGTCATCCTGGGTCTGTCCCTGAATGCTGCCTCTGCTCTGCTTCTTCCACTACAGAGTCATAGATCTTGAGAGCTGAGAAGTCCCACAGGGGTCCAGAGAGGTGAAATAACTTTCTGAAGGTCAGGCTGGGTGCGGTGGCTCACGCCTGTAACCCTAGCACTCTGGGAAGCCGAGGTAGGTGGATCGTTTGAGCTCAGAAGTTCAAGACCAGCCTGAGCAAGAGTGAGACTCCATCTCTACTAAAAAATAGGAAGAAATTAGCTGGACAACTAAAAATACATATAAAAAATTAGCCGGGCATGGTGGCACATGCCTATAGTCCCAGCTACTCAGGAGGCTGAGGCAGGATGATCGCTTGAGCCCAGGAGTTTGAGGTTGCTGTGAGCTAGGCTGACACCATGCCACTCTAGCCCAGGCAACAGAGCAAGACTCTGTGCCCCCCAAAAAAATAAAAAGGTCAGAGAGCATGAAGTGGCCAAGCCAGGATGAACACCCAACTTTATCCATAAAAACATTGAAAGTAATTCTCTGGGCAGTGGGATTAAGGTTGACCTTTGCAGTGTTCTTTATTACTTTTATTTCTCAAATTTTACCCCGCAGACACATATTGTTTTAGAAATCAAAATTAATGTAGGTTTTACAAGTTTTTTTTTTTAAGCAGAACTTGACCCCAGGTCAGGTTTCAAATGGCAAAGGGCTGTCACAGAGCAGCTGTGACAAGGAAGGTAGAACTGGAGAACCAGGGCCTGTGTTTGAGAGGTGACCGAGACTTGGCGGGGGGGAGGGGGCACCCTCAAACCACCGAGCTGATGTGAAAGATGATGCCTGAGAGTACCAGGCCAGGGAGGGGCTCTGTAAAGCAAGCATACATTTCAGAAACAAAAGAACACAGGGGTGATGACTTCAGCAGTCCCTAGTTTAAATGCGAGAGATTATCAAGGCCCAGAAAAAAAGAGAAAGGAGAATCCTGGAGAAAGCCTATCATCGGACATCATTTTTTCCCCTGGCTGAGACAAAGGATCAATCACCAAAACTAAAAAGCAAAGGATCCAAATGGCTTAAAAAAAGAAACCACGGGCCCTCCTGGGGACAGGCTTGGACAGGCCATCAGACAGTGTGGTCTCTAGCAACCATCCACCGGCCCCAGGGAGGACCAGGAACTTCCTTCTTTCTGGCATCCAGACGGAGAAGCAGACCTGCAGACTCTAAAGTCGCTGACAGACACAAACCAGAGCCCAGAGAGCACTCCCCACAGGGGCTAAGGAGACCAAGTTCCCCTGGCATCTGTCGCTGCAAAGCTTCCCGGCTTGTCTTCAGTCCCTGCCCCTCCCAGTTGGAGCCTCCCCCCAGCTTACCTCTTTTGCAGAGATTCCTTGTGGTTGGTATGAAAGGACAGACAATGGATAGAAGAGGCAGAACGGACAGCAGATAGCAGTGCCGTGGCTGTCCCAGCTCCTGTTCCAGGCCCCACTCTCCTCTGACAAGCATGTGAAGGTTTATCCAGTTCCCCTATTTCACAGATGAATGAAATGAGACAGAAAAGGGGGACTCTGTGTCTGTGCCTATCAAAGTCAGATGAGATGATGTACTCTTTTAAGACCATCTTATTCAGGACCTTGCCTGACGTCACAAATCTTTGCAGTGACAGAGCAGGACAAGGAAGTACTATCTTAATGACTGCCCCCTCTTCCAGCACTTGAGGCTGCCTGTGAGCTGGACTACCCTCTCCCCTGCTTACTAGAGAGAAGAGGTTCCAATCCAATCCCCAGGAGCCTCCTGAGCAGATGTCAACATATAAAATAATGCAGAAGACTAAATCAAATTAGGCTATCATGGACAGAGGTCCCTCTTCACTTCTTCTAAGGGACCATTTTTAATAGGAAACATCTCAATCAAAAAAGTGACCCTGGCCGGGCATGGTAGCGCATGCCTATAG